GTTCCTGACAGTGCAAAGATATTAATAAAAAGATTTAAGAAAAGGACTGCATGGAAAATAAAACTATAATTCCATTCGTGGCCAACAAAATGATTAAAAACATATGAAAATTAGTGGATGCACATTAAACACACACACACCCCCCAGTGCTTTCCCTAATGTGTTCAAATGCCTCTCCGTCCAGCCTAAACAGACTTTCTCAGGGAAGTGACAGAACAAAAGCCAAATTGTGATGAACGTTGATCAACTTTATGGGTAGAGGCACCAGTGGCCCCCATAAAACAGCACCCACCTGAAATAGCATTTGTGTAGATTCAGGGATTAAGTTCTTAGTCTTTCAGCCTGATGCTAACAAAGTAATTCTGCTTCCCTGATATATCTGAAATGCTGACAGGAAAACTGTTGATTGCATCCTTTGCTCTGCAGAAACTTTAGACTTATCGACTTCCCCTTTGGCTTCCTTTGATTACACTTTGCTGGAGCTGATTGGCCCTGCCTGGCAAGGCTCCACGTAGACAGCCCCCCTGGGCAAACTTTCCAGTGTCCCTTCCTGGCTCTACTCTGTCTGTCACATTGGCATGCCAGCCAAGAAGGGGCCTTCACTCTAGCTGCCAGGGTGCTGGTCTCTTCTTGTTCTTCCTCTCTACCTCCCATCTCCACTTGCATTTGAAAATGTTGGAGAAGGAGGCTGAAGATTAAATCCTTGGCAGTTAGGGTAGTAGCAATAACCACAAGTTGGAGGATGTCCACTTTTTTCTGGAAGTTTGAGACCCAAATTGTGAAATTCATGAAAAATAAAAGAACTTGTCTTATCTCTGCTGAGACCCATAAGGGATGCATTTTTCTCTTGTGGCTGGGATGCTTGCACTTCCCAAGAGCATGGCTTAGTAGTAAGATGTTCAAAATCCATGTTGCAGGTTCAACTGCAGTTCAACCACAAATACAGAGCGTGGGGCAAGCTCCGGAAATACAGAACATCTTACCCTTTTTATGCTGTTCATTTTCTCCCACATCCCTTGAAGTTGCTTTGTGCATGTCTTCTGCCCTCTGTGTCTGCTTGTTTCCTTTTAATTTTTTTAAAGAAGACTTTCTGACAATGTGACATGAATGTCTTCATTTATGGTCCACGTCATTGATTTTGCTTGTATACTTGGTTAAATACTTTCCATCCTCCCACGTTTTGAAATAAATGTATTATTATCAGAGTAAAAAGAATTACATCTTATTTTTTAACCAAAAACCTCTGCATTTAATTAATCTTTAAATTAAATAAGCCTGTAAAAGTAAATAAACCAGTGAGGAACTTTGGGATATTTTGAAAATTATTGTTTATGCTGTATCTTTTCTCTTAGGTCTTAATTTCTCCAAACTGTTTTTAAAGTCATTTTTCAGATGTTAGACCTTACTACATGTTTAATATCCAGGAAGGATAAATAACTATTTCGCTGTTTTAAGGAATAGGCACGATTCACTATAGAATAACAAAAAATGCTAGCTTAGAAAATATTTTTAATTGATATAACATTGGTTTACAACACTGTACATGATTCAGATTTACAGGATCACAACTCTCAGATGTATGTTACCACTCCACATCCACCAACAAGGCACCCAAAGTCGTCCTGCACCCCTACCCCCCATTGCTCCCCAGATGTCCCCTCACCCTCTGGTAGTAATCTATAGTCAGATTACTAGGGTTTGTTGTCAAATAATGTGCTTTTAAGGTACCTGGACCATCCAGGGAGTAACATCTTTGTCCGTTTTGCTTGGTCTGTATTAATGATGGATTTACTCAGGTCAAATCTTGAGTTGAATCTGAATCTTTTTTCTGCTTCAGTAAGTAGAAATCATAAATGTGTTTTCTTCTGATTTGGATCCTGCTATGTGCTCTTTCTACTGCAGGTGTAAATCCTAATAGTCTTAGTTAAAGCAGCCTGATTCTAAAACACACACACATTTTACCACCTTCTATCCCCCAAAGGAGACCATACTATCCACTAAATGTTTTTTCATGCCACCCAGTGCTACTTAAACACATATTGAAAAAGGTCATTGAATACCACTGAAATTCTTGCAGCTCAACTTAATTGGATTTTTTCCATTATTGGGTGAGTATTCTTCCCCAGCTGAGTCACAATCACCTTCCCCACAGTGCTTAAACTCACTACTTTCCCTTATTCCATTTCCCAGAATTGAAATCTCTTTATTGTCTGAGGATCACTTTGCATCATACTTAAAAAACTAAATTCATCTTATGTGAGCTTCACCTCTCTCCAACAGCCTTTGTCTAACTCCATCTGTTTCCGCTCTCTTCCCTTTCCTCAAAGGCCACCTTCTCCACTTCAGGCCTTAGTCCCATATCCTCCTGTCTCTCTAAGAGCTTGTTCTATTCATTATCTCTTTCCTCTTAGTCGTAGTCCCCCACCCCTCTCACACATACACAACTCTAACCTCAAAATAGCAAATGGAATATTTCTTCTCCTCTACTTATCTCTCCAATTTCCTTTCTGTGAACTTTTTTTTTTAAGATTTATTTTATTTTTATTTTTTAAAGATTTATTTATTTATTTATACAAGCACTGGGTATAGTCAGAAGCGCGGGAGGGTGAGAGAATTCACCAGAGCCAGAGCGGGGAACAGAACAGGCAGACTGATGAAATACACTGCTGAGGGGAGCAGCGGGGCGCGGCAGGAGAGGTCTGTCGTGCCATGTGGGACCCTTGCCAGCGGCCAGGCATCGAACCAGCACTGCAGAGGCTGCGGGCAGCTTTGCAGCCCAGTGCTCAACCACTGCGCCACCAGGGGAGGCCCTTAATATTTATTTATTTATGCATACAAGAGCTGGGGCATAGGCCAGAGATGTGGTGGGTGAGAGGATACACCAGAGACAGAGTGGGGAGCAGAACAGGCAGATCTACTGAAACACACTGCTGAGGGGAGCAGTGGGCAAGCCAGGAGAAGCCTGCCATGCCACGTGGGCCACGTCCCTGGCCAGGGATCAAACTTGCGCCACAGAAGCCGCAGACAGCCTCACAATACTGCATCCTAACCCCTTGAGCCACCAGGGAGGGCCCCTCTGTGAATGTTTTAAAGCGATAATCCTCTTCTGCTGATCATGAGCTACTAACAATGTAGTGTTTATCCTTCCCACTCCACCAGAACTAACTCTCACAAGTCACTGGTATGTCTTTAACCTGTAACCAAATCGCATGGCATTTCTCACCCACCCACTCATATACTTGTAGCATTTGACAGAATTGATGACACCACCTTTCTGGAAACCAGGTGTTGGCAGCACTCTGGAGTGCCATCTGCCCTCTCTCCTTAACTGCAAATTCCCACCTTTTTCTGTCTTTTCTGACTACGTTTTCCATTGCCCAGTTTCTTTCATGTAGATATTCTCCCAGGAATTTTCTTCTGTACGTTTTATTAATAGCTCTGTTTTTGAATTTTTGAATGTGTGAATAGCACTAAAGCTCTGATACTGAATTGCAGGCTTCCTTTTCCTTTTTGGCTTGATTGATTCACATTCGAGTTCCAGCACCAAAGCAGAACAGAATCCCATCTTTCCCTCCTGCCCCAGCCCGTCTTTCCTGATTTCCTGCTTTCTGTCTATGACATTGCCATCTCTCTGTGACCTACAAGGAAGTATTGGTGTTGGATCCCTGGTTTCCTTATTCCCCTGGACCAAATGCACACACGTTCATAGATATACTGTCCTGCTCTTTGACAGTGCAGACTCACTTGCTTGAAGCACAATTATCAGTTATTCCCCTGCTCAACAGCTTTCTATCACAGATGAATTCCAGATCTCTTGTTATATATTTTATTTCATTTTACTTAAGTATTAAAATAATTATTAAAAAATAATTTTAAATCCTTGAGAATCTAATATCTAGGACATATCTTAGTCTGGTTATATTTAAGATAGTATCTGAAGGTGATGGTCCTTTTTTCCATGTGTGGTGTCTGTGTGTGTGTGTGTTAGTGTGCTTTGTAATTTTGCATGCTGGACATTTTGTGTAGAACAGTAGATTCTGAGGTTAATTACACTCCTGTCAGAAATGGGTGTGCCTCTTCAGCCATTAGGCTGTGAGTAGGAATGGTTGTGTCACTGCTGTAGTTTACAAGATGTGAGCCTGTCTGTGCTTATGTTGAATGCATGACAGGTTTTACACCCCCCCCCCAGTGATAAACAGCTCCTGCCTTGTACTCTGGGTAAGACCTTGTCTAATTCTCACGCTGCATTTGGGGATGTGTGTGTCCCCTACATGTCTGCAACACAGAGAGAGGCCCCTTAGTGCTCCCATGCCTCCTTCAGTCATAGACTGCTCATATCTGGTCCTCAGGGTAAAGCCCGAATCTCCAGCCCTATCCCCACATTCAAGCAGCTTCTTGAATTGGAGGGGGGTTTTCTAAATGTGCCAGCCTCTTCTCAATATTAGACTATCCCCTCTGCAATTAGCAGGTGTCAGAGCAGATGGGTGGGAGATTTAATGTGGACCAGCCCTGCAGTCTGCACCCAGAGGGCCCACTGTCGGCTGGCCTGCTCCTTTCTCTGTGGCAGGCATAGAGTTTGAATGTAGAAGGTGTCCCTCGGTACACTGGTCCACCCTCAAGCTTAAGCAGCTAGTCCTTTTAGTTCTCTTGTTTATTTTTCAGCTTTGTATCTCCAATGGGCTCAAAATTTATGATTCTACAGGCTACCTGGTCTGTTCTCATTGTTCGGCAGGGAACTACATTTCTTATAACTTTCTGTATCCTGCACAGAAGGAGAATATGGAAATGTGATGAGTGTTTCACATTGTCCTTAAGATTCGCTGCTCCCGGGAACAAATCCTAATAAAAGGATTTGAATTCAGGAAAGGTTAAAATTCATCAGATGGTTGGAATTTTTTTTAAATCATTTTGATTTTCTAGCTAACTGGAATATATTATAATTTTAAAATATCACCTCCAAGCCTGAGCTTTATCTAATACATAGTTTGTATTACTCACAGCCAACCATGATAAGGCGTCCACCAACAATTGTTTGCTACATTTGTGGTCGTGAATATGGAACAAAATCTATTGGCATCCATGAGCCACAATGCCTGAAAAAATGGCATAATGAAAACAACTTGTTGCCTAAAGAGCTAAGGAGACCAGAACCAAAAAAACCACAAATCAGGACCATCACTGGTAAGTTTTAGGAAAAAAAAAGGTTCTTGGTTATATAAGGGGAGACTTCTCTACACTAACAAGAGTAGGGGTATTCTTTTCTTACGTGTTCAAGGAACTGAAATCCACATCCTGTACTGTTATGGCTACAGTCACAGGAAAAATTTATGGAACTCCTACCGAGAGTGTTGTCTTCAGATGCTGAGAAGGAAAGAGTCCATGTCTTGGCAAAAACAGTACAGGCAGAGGGACCTGTCTAGAATTTACTATGGTTCCCCAAAGTTATCTTCCTATATATCAAGCATAACAGTTAAAAACACACAAAGCTTAAAAAAACCTTTGTGTGCATCTGGAAATATATTTTCAAATATGAATGTTTGTGTTTGTAACACAAGCATACCAACAATTGTTTGCTACATTTGTGGTCATGAATACACAACAAAATCTATTGTCATCCATGAGCCCCAAATGCTTTTGGGGTCAAATAGCCAGATTACAAAATTGAATTAATTGGTCCACATGTGAAACAAGGAAGGTGAGAACTCTGGTGAGTCTGAAGCGCCAGCTCTGTCTATGTGAGACAGGTGGCCCCCGAGTTCCATGTGAGGGCATCAGTAAGTAGGTCAGCCTTGTGCGACTATGTCTTTCACTAAAAAATAAACTGGAAATCTAGACATCTGTATGAACGGTTCCTTTTTTTTTTCATTCTGTATTTAATATTTTGTAAAATACTGCAAGCCAGATGAATCTGGGACTCCATAAACTGCCAAATGTGGCCTCCTTAGAGAGTCTTATGCTCATTCATTTAGGTAAAAGAATAAAGTAGATTGAAGAAGAGTTTGACTGTGTGAGCTCAAACTTGCTCACATTTCTGCATTGTCCTTTCCTCAGGTAATCCCCTGCTTCTGCTTCAAAAGAAAACCTTTGTTGGTTTTAAGTGGATGGTCACTCAATTTATCCATCCTCCTCAAGTAACCATAGATTTGTAGCACATGAGGTACCTTCGAGGTCATTTGGTCCAAAGCACTCTTGTTGGAAATGCGAGCCAAAGAGTTTTCTGACAGCCCTCAAGAGATTTGCATGATAAAGTTCAAGATGCTGCTAAAAGCAACTATTCACAGTGCTTGCAAGAGGCAGCATCAGCATACAGAGGAAAAGCGCTTCAGACAAAAACATGCAGCTATTATAATTGAGATATGCCCACAAGGAGAGTGTTTACCTCATTGAAACTCTCTTCCTAACAGCTCTTATTTGGTCTCAAAAATGTGCTTCCTTAACTTACTATTTTTATTACTTTGTCTGCTTGCGCGTAATCATGAGAAGCCTAGAAGTGATGAGAGAACTAAGTGGTTTGAAAACCCTGGTGGATTCACTATTGTTATTAACTACACATGGAATAGGCAGGTCCTATGACTGTTCTCCCTGCAATTTTCCTCCTGGAGGCTACGCTATGAAGCTGTCCTTACTCTGTAAGCAGAAAATCCCATTCCTGTTTCCATCCCATGGATTTACCGGAGTCAGAGAGCTCAAATAGCCCTTCCTCCAGATCCTAAGTCAAAGCTGTAGGCAAGAACCTTGAGAAATATGACTGATCATCTTCAATGAGAATCAGCGAATGCTGTGAAGTTTTTGAATCCACATTAAAACTGATATGAGTAAGGAGAAAGTTAGTGCCCTTCTTTTTTCTACAGTTTTAAAAGGGCTCAAAATACATATTCATAACCTGCATAGAATACGATACTTGTTTTAGCCAAAGGAGAAATACTAGGTTGTTCTGGAGTTTAATTTCCCATGGAGGGGAAAAAAAAAAAAAAAAGAACACTAAAAGTAGGCATGTAAATGAATCTTAAGTTTTTCTATAGTTGTGTGACCCATACACAGAAATCATATGAGAATTGCCTGGGTTTTAAGGAAGAAATATATGCTGTGAAAATGATCAAAACTATGTAATATATTTTTGAGTGCCTGGAAAAATTTGGAGGACCTATTTTGAGTGATTCTAAGACATAGTCAATTTAATGTACTCAAGTCATTCTATTTAAATAAGGTTTATTAAAGCTAAATCCCACACTGTTTCTCTAAAATAAAGCCAGATGCCTTTTTTCCTATGCTGTGCCAGCGAAGATTATACATCGCTCAGCTGTCTTTGTTGTTTGTTTAAGGACACTTTTTTTCATCAGATTAACTATTCTGTTTGCATTCTTCACTTTAATTACTTAAGTTTGCTGCAAGTGTAGGGTCATAAAGAAATGGTACATTTTTAGGATATAATTCATCTTAAATTCACTCTCAACTGTCAGTTTTGGCCTCTAGGAACATTCCACTGAAGGATTACAGAGAGGAAAATACAAATACATGTTCTTTTCCTTTGTAAGCTTATATTTAGAGTCAACTGAAAGAAGGCCAAGAGTTATATTTGCAAGATAATAATGTGTAAGCAAAGATGTTAATAATTAGTGAAGAATGCATATCATAGCATATAAAACAATGTCTTCCCCTTTTTAAAATTCATGGAGTGAAAAACCTCTGTTTCATAGCTAACTTTGCTCAACCCTTGAAAGAGTGAGCTGTACTTTTTTTTTCTTTTCTTGGCAAAAGAAATAGGATTTGTTTAAAAGCCTCAGTCAACAGGTATTTCCTGAAAATATTTTCCATAGAAAGTATATGGGAATATAGTTCTCTAGAATGAAAGTGGATCCATTTTTACCATTTTCTTTTCCTTTTCTTTCTTTTTTGTTCCTTTTCTTTTTAACTTTCTAGCTAAAGGGTTCTATGATCTTGAAGCCTTAAATGAAGCTGCTTGGACAAGTGCCCAGAGCCAGCTGGTTCCCTGTAATAATTGTGGGCGTACCTTCCTGCCAGACAGACTGATTGTTCACCAACGATCCTGTAAACCAAAAGTCGCCAAGTAAAGCCCTTTCTCCCTACAGCAGCATTACAGGAATTAAGTCTTTTTGTAAGAGATTGGGATATGGCAGAGAGGAGAAAAAGTAGGTGAGGTGAATGAAGCAATAGGGAAAACTGGAATTGAACGAAGGCAGGCTAGCAGGGAAGCCAGGTGAGTGCTTTGGGGACACAAGTGTGGCCACGCTGTAGTGGGCTGATGTGCGCGTCTCAATGAGCATGTGCGGGTACCTGCATAGACGTGGGGGCATGTCACTCACACGTGACACACGTCACATTAGGCAGCATTACAAGCACGCTGTTCTTCATCAGAGATGGCTTTTTCGTCTCAAGAACATTTCAGAGCCAACTGGTGCCTTTCCTCCCATTCTATTTTCCTAAACAAAATTTTGAATCTAACAATTAGGGCTATTGTTCAATGAACTGAGGTTTTGGGTGGCAACCTCAGGCTACTCCTTAGTCCCAGGAAAGACTGGATGCCTTCCCATCTCTCTGCATTCTGAAATAAGGTGCCTTTCCCTGTTTTTAATTGAGTGATGGATTGGGATTCTTCTTCTAGCTATGAAAGCATCCAACAGGAGAGACTTTCAAAAGATCTGAGGACAAAGTACTAGAATCGTACTGAACTCATTCCCCCTTACCGATGGTGAGGCACGCTCCAGATCCAGTGCCAACCTCTGTCAGGAGATTGCTGCCATCTGATTCATCAAATGGGTGGAACCAGCTCTTTTCCTTCTCTGGATCAAGTCTAGTAAGAGTTCTTATTAGGGCTTATAGGTGTTTCATTGTTGAGGTCTGAAAGCCTGCAGGAAGTGGTATGCCTCCCCACCCAGGGGCCTCGCACAGTAATGGGTTGTGGTACTGCTCTGGATTTCAGTGACCTTGAATGTGTATTCACAGAGGTGGGGCTTTTCTGGGAGGGGGCCAACGCCTGGGAGGTGCTCTGCACAGGAAAAGTCTGCTCCCCCAGAAAGCATGGCTTTGCCTGGCCTCTCAGTCATTTTACTTGAGATCTTTGTTCATTTTATGGCTGAATTTCAGGACTATTCTGGATCTAGTGAGTGTATGCAAGCCTGGCATTCATGGGACCTTCCACAGCACAGTGAGCTCCAAATGAAATAAGCAAATTTATCCAGTGTAATATTTTGGTCCCACATCTCCACATTACAAAAGGGTTGGTTGGGATAATGGTGCCAATCACTTGGCTTTCCTGGCCTATGCCAGAGGAAACAGGAGAGGAACTTTTAAAAAGTCTCTTTTAGATACCTCTTTAGATTCCTCTTAAATAAGATTGTCATCTTGTGAAACACATAGCATGTAAGGACTCGAAGTTGATGGCTTAGTGCTTTCATTATGTTAACAAAAATGACAACAGCTAATAATACAGTGAGCACAATGGTGCTGTGTGAATATACATAGCTTTCTATAAATCCCACATCAGCTTCTTAGGTTTTATTCTTATGTTATACATGAGGAAACCGATACTCAGACTAAACGGCTACTTCAGGGTCTCACTGAACTTGAGTTAAAGGATGAATTAGGGAAGCAAACTTGGAAGTACTGGAATTCCAAACCCATAATCTTCTCCTTTGCTCTTTGTGTGCTAGATACCACCATTCATAAATTAACCCTACGAAAACACACATGATCTCAGAAATGAAAAAAAAATTAAATTGTTTAGTAATGAAGGCAGTGGGACTCTTACATACTGGCATTTTGCTTGCTGGCCTTGGTTTATCTTGAACCAAAGTAAAACTACAAAGTAAAACTACGAAGTTTGAACTACACTGTTTTTCAAAAAACCCTTCTGCAGTGTTGCTAATGGTCAAATGTCAAAAAGCCGGGGAAATAAAGCAAGAGCTCCAGCTTCAATTTTGAAATGAGTTGCCACTTGAGAGATTCATCGACACTTTGCTTTAAAAGCATGACACCCCCACCCCTTGCCATCCCTGACCCCAAAAAATCAAAAAACACTTTACCTATCTCAGCTATAGAGTCTGTGAGTTCTAGACTTGTCACTTTTCTCAGGAATGGTGAGCCAGCTAAGCCTCATCACAGTGCTGGCTGTGGGACTCCACTCTGTTCCACTTCAGTCCATGACATTATATATGAGCAGGTGCAGTTGTAATGACATCATTGAGAGAATTACCATCCTTTATCAAGACAAGTCCCCAAAGCAAAAGCAAGTAATTTCTTTCACGTTGGTTGGCATCTGCTGGAGCTAAGAATTTGAACCTTAAACTGGTTCCCATAGGTACTCTCCTAGATGAGGAAAAACATACACTAGATGAAGGTACAGGGCTGTCTTACTCTTGCCACTGTAATTATTGTTGGGGGAGCAGTATTATCACAGACATCCACAATGGTGCAATTCCTTCGCTGTCTTTTATGCAGTTACACACACACACACACACCGTAATTGAACTCCCCCTTAGTTGAGGTCACAGGAAGAATTCCAGGATTTCTCAATGCCCATGTGTATGTTGAATTCACACAAATGTTGCAGGCCATATCCCATCAGAGAGGAAGAGCAGGGGCTGAACAAGCACACCCTAGTAGCGGGTGTGGGCAGGAAGAATGTCCTCCCGCGGAGGATGTGGAAATGAGGTACAGCTCTATTATGGGGACTATTCGGGCAGTTTCTTCACAAGCAGCTTGGAAAGTACTTATTTCCAATGGGCGCCTCAGGATGACTCCTCAATGACAGACACTTCAGACTGGGAAGTACGATCCTGAGTCACCTCATGGAAAAAAGAAGCTGGTACTGACGGGCAGACCCAGGTGTGAACAGATTGAGGGCAGCGACCCAAAGTTGCTGAAAACAGCCCTGTACAATCCGTGCTCGCCTGTTCTAGACATTAGTGCCGTCCCTTCTTTACGCTCCTGTCTAAGACAAACCCATGTGGCTCTAATGCCAACTGAGGTCAGGGCAGGAAGTTCAGCCCTTTCCTTCCCTGGCCCGGAGGAGTGCCTTCCCTCCCCTGGCCACGGTCCACCAGCCTTTATCATGTATTGCTTTCGTCTGGCCCACTTGAACTGCTGTGCCTGTTTTTTGCTGCTCCCGCCCACTTTCTGTGAGCATTGTGGCCGGAGATGAAAAATGAGGTTTTTCCTGCACTTGGAAGAAACTACACAAAATGAGAAGCAGTCAGATTTCCAGAAGGAGCCAAATGGGATAATGTGGAGAGAATGTATAGCAGGGAAAACACTGCTGAGTTATCCTAGCATGGTGCACCTGTATGTGTAGTTCTTTTTAAATTTTGTTATCAAAAATTTCAAATAGATGCACTCATAGAGAAAGGCACAATGAGGTCTCATGTTCTCTGTGCCCAGGGAATTTGAGGTTGAATTTGAATGATTGCCATTTCAGTTACTACTCTGGGGCGCAAGCGGAAGGCCTGGTGGCAGGGAGAAGATGTGGGAGAAATTCCAGGGCCTCTTTGCCAACACCTTTCTATTCCCTCTTAGGGAAATGTGAGATTCAAGCAGGGTGGATAAAACCAAGCCTGAGTGTGATTTTTTAAAAAAAGGAAACCTGCCGTAGGCCTCACAGGCCAGGTATGTCCTTGATTCACACTGACCCCCCGCAGCCCAGGGCTTTTCAGACGATTCTTAGTTCACAGTGTTAGGCAAAGCTAATGGATCCCAAAAGTGTTGACACCCTAGTTCCCAAAACTTCTTGTGTATTGTTAAAGTGAAACTTGTATTACTTGACATGTCACAGAGACTTTACACATGGGATTGAAGTTATGGACCTTGAGATGAAAAGATTATCTTGTTTTCTGGGGTGCACCCCGTCTAATTTTGTGGGTTCCTGAAAAAGAAATAAGAAAGAAGAAAGTGAGAGGGATGGCAGAGTAGGAAGGTGCAACTCCCCGCGGCTGGTTTTGAAATGAGGGGAGCCATGTGTAGCAACCAGAGAGGCCTTTGGAGTGAAGGGGAACTCCAGCAAGGAAACTGGAAGCTCAGTCCTCTAACCACAAGGAATTGGATTCTGCCAACAACCTGAAAGGACAAACAGATTCACCACTGAAGCCTCCAGGGTGTAATGCAGCCCAACAACTTATTTTTTATCTGGGTTGAACTTCTAACTTACAGACCTGTAAAAAAATAAATGTGTTGTTTGAGCCACCAATTTGGTGATAATTTCTTGTGGCACCACTAGACAACCTTGTGTATGTGGGATAGGGCAGCCCCAATAAAACTCCTTTGAAGTTTTTGAGGTACAGCTCTCAAATCCATGAGGGGCTCTGGTGACCTTCACTGCTGGCATTAATGAGGAGGTAAATGACCATTTCACTGGGGCAGGTAACCCAGGGAATACCACCTGCAAGGCTTGCCACCCTGAATATAACCACAGCTATTTTGCAGAATGTATATCAATTCCAGAGATTTTTTAATGTTCTGTTAATATTTTCAAACACAAAATTGTCATAGCTACATATTTGTTTTAAATGATGGTGGTTTTTGTAAGTGGTGATAACTGTTACCAAGTGCTAAATGTTCCTGTCTTGTATTCTGATTCTAATTCTGAACATTACCTTCATTCTGTGCTTCATTCTGTGCAATCCTTCATTCTGTGCTAGATGTGAGAAGAATTGTGAGGCAACAGGGAGCTGACGTCTGCACACAGACTGACAGCCCCAGAAAGCCCTGGACACAGGTGAGAACATACCAAGCAGCAGTGAGGAGCACAGGCAGCACCACGGCTAAGGCAGGGGCATACTCACAGCCATCCCTACGGTCCTCTGAAGATAACGTGGGTTTATGAGTAAACTTGATCCAAGAAAACATCACTGAACAACACAAGATGACATGGAACTGTGCGAGCCTGGTATCCAGGCTCTAACTCCTGCAGCCAAAGCAGATGGAAAAATCTGACACTGCTAGGAAGCTTTATCCTAATTGACACGTTAGGAAGTTCTTTGGCATAAGCACTTCTGCCGCAAGCGTTGGTTTTTTTGGTTTTTTTTTTTTTTTTTTTTTTGCTGCATAGCTAATGGGCTGTAAGGCAGTTTTGCTGTGGAAGATAAAATAACTGGTTGACAGTTTGGTCTGGCAGTTTGGTTTCAAGTTTGGTTTTTTAACTGATGTAGTACTCCTATTTTTATGTTATATAAATACCGCGATAAAACAAAGTATGAAATAAGACAGTGTAAAACTAGATTGCATATAATACTAGAAAATAGCATATCAGTTTGCAAGATCTTGATAGTTTGCTAATCAGTGAGCCCTCATCCCTCCTCCTGCCCATCAAAATGAAAAGTTTACCACACTGAGCCTATTATAAAAGAGGCTGCTAGTAATTCATAGCAGTCATCGAAAATGTTACCGATTCTCTAGCTAATTTAGATTTCCTAGATGTCTTGAAAACGGTGGGCATTTTGTGCTATTTGAGAGTGGAAAAAAAAAATGATGTAGACAGCACGTTGGTATTTGGCACAGAATCTGACTTAGATGAATTGGTGAAGCCTAAGGACCGGGCATGGGATGGGACATTTCAATGCAGTCCAGCTTCGTATGGGTTCTATGTTAAGAAACAAACGCGTCCTGCATCTGTCAAAACGCAGGGTAGGTTTCCACAAGGCGACACAAAGTCCAGTGAGAAATAGGCATCCTAGTATTTGGAACCTGATCTTTTAATGAAGGAAGACATTTCAGTGGAAAAGAGAAAGTGTTCTACAGTGTGCTTTTAAATGAACGTCTCCATTTTTCGTCATTTTGGTGGGTTCTTTTACGACAAAATTGCCTTACGGCCACTGAGTTTTGTGGTGAAGGCGTTTACAGCAAACGACTTAGAATGAGGCTCCAGGGGTCTGCAGTGCTGGCCTCTGCGCACGGAGGTGGAACGGGCGCCCTGCAGGGAAGAACAGGTAGGGAGAGAAGAAACCCCTCCAAATTGTGGTCTACCCCAAGAATTGCAGCATTGGAGGTGTTTGGTTTTCTCTGTAATTGGCTGGTGGTCTTTGTTCCTCCACAGAGTTTGTCCACAGAATTTCTTGAAAACTAGGGAAGTGAGTCCCTGTGCCTTAACCTGGGGCATTTTCTAGAGTGCACTTGGCCTGGGGCAGTGGGAGGCACCGTAGGCTCAGTGTCCTTAACCTCCTGCACTGTGGGGTCAGCTTAGTAAAGAAGTTCCAAAGTTCACGTCTGGGTTACTTGCTCTGGCCAACATTGCCATTTCACTTCCTCTCTTTTTAACATGCTTCCTTCCCAACTTCTGTCACCAATATGGTATTGTCCAGACAGATGAACAGCCCAGATCCAGAAGGTGGTGAAGCAATTCCATATGCTTTTTTTTTTTTAAAGATTTATTTATTTATGCATACAAGAGCTGGGGTACAGGCCAGAGATGGGGGGAAGTGAGAGGATTCAGCAAAGACAGAGCAGGGAACAGAACAGGCAGATTGACTAAACCACTGCTGAGGGGAGCAGTAGGCAAGACAGGAGAGGTCTGCTGTGCCATGTGGGTAGCTCCCTGGCCAGTGGGGGCTTGACCTTGTGCTGTAGAGGCTGCAGATTGCTTCATAGTGTGGTACTTAACCCCTTGCGCCACCAGGGAGCCCCCCCCTCCCATATGCTTTTTAGCAAGAATTAGAAGGCAACCTCCTGGGACAGTCGGAGGCTCGGGAGGGCGGCAATAGCAGCCGCATGTGGTGTGCAGGTTGCTGGGAGAGCAGCATGGACGACAAGGCCGCGCCAGCCGCTGGCGCAGGGACAAAGATGCCAGTGGGTGGGGTGTGCAATGACCACCAGGAGATCAGAGACGAGGCAGCCTGGCTTCATCTTCCTGAGCCCTCAGCTTCTGGTAGGTGCTAAAGCAGGTTGGATGAGTCTTATGACCTGCCTGTTTTAGTTTGGGGTGCGGGACATTGGACCAGATGGCCTCTAGGGTCTCCCTGGTGGCGCAGTGGTTGAGCCCTGGGCTGCGAAGCTGCCCTCAGCCTCTGCAGCGCCGGTTCGATCCCGGCGGACCGGCAAGGGTCCCACATGGCGCGCAGACCTCTCCTGTCGCGCCCGCTTCTCCCCTCAGCAGTGTACGTCGTCAGTCTGCCTGTTCTGTTCCCCGCTCTGGCTCTGGTGAATTCTCTCACCCTCCCATGCTTCTGACTGTACCCAGTGCTTGTATAAACAAACAAACAAACAAACAAACAAATAAATGAATGAATGAATGAATGAATGAATAAATAAATCTTAAAAAAAATGATGGCCTCTAAGGAGAAAGGGGTGAGGGAACATGAATTAATAAGGTGATAAGGCCACATTTTGCATTTCCTTCCCACATTTGTCTTTTCCTCTTTTTCCTTCGCTCACACTGTCATGTGTCTGTTCCCTCCCTCCAGCCCCCATCCCACACCCCGCACCCGCACCCGGGTTCTGTGGTTCTGTGGTTCTGTTTTTCCTTTCCTAAGCGGGGCTCTTTTCCCACAGCCGGGTGAACACTCCGTCTCCGACCAGGAGAGGGCAGTCTTTGCAAGCGCTGAGCTCAGAAACCCAAACTGGGCGCAGGCCTGCCAGCACCCAGACGTGCTTCTTCATTTTTTGTTTACTCTTGAAGCAATCTGAAAGGGACCTATATTTACTCCTGCAGTCCTATCAAGTGGGTCCTCCATCCCTCGCCCCGCCCACCTTTTCCAAGCAATAATCATAAATATTTAGGGTCGAGATCACAAGTTGGCTTCATCACAGGCCATGTTTGGCCAGCTTTCTGACAGCACTTACACAGAATATCAAATGCAGCTATTTTGATAGCATGAGCGATTCAGGGACGACCGGTGCTTTGCTCAGTGTGTGATGTTGTGATGCAGTTGGCGAAATAGTTTGTGTTCTACCCGGCTTCTTTTTATTTTTAAAATGATTGTACAAGTCATTAACTTTCTGAACGGGCATTTCTTGGCCACCTGGCCGGTGTCCTGTGCTGATTGGACTGGGGGGGCGCATAGCTGACTGCAGCCAGGAGAGCCACGGGGTGGGGCAGACGGCTGTCACGGGCTCCAGAGAAACTGGATAATTAAGAAAGGAAAGTTCAGAAAAGAGAAAATGTGCAATGTGGAGTCTACCTCCCCGCTCCCAGGCTCTATGGTCTGTGGAACATAACCTGACAGTGTCCATGGACACAGCTGCGATCGAGTTAAGAGTATGGAGAATTCTTTTTCACATTTAGAGACTGGATTGAGGATCCAGAAGAGAAACAAAATGAAGCAATAAAGAAAATATTTCGGGAAGCTGGATGGAGAAGGTGGACAGCTTGTGAACATATAACCTGTGTTATCCTGTAAAGTTCTGTATTTAGAAGGGCTCCCTGCATGCTTTAATGTCTGTTGTTGCCATCATGAAACTCTTACAAATCCTTGAACAAGGAACCTCACATTTTCATTTGGCACTAGGGTCTGCAAATTATGAAGCTGGAGTCAGCGACAAATAGAAGTTTGCCTAAGGTAGGTGCAAGGAATTTACAATCTGCATAATGCCGTGGGAAGCTTGCATTTCTGGTGGAGTTTCAAATAAACAGGCGATTTCCAATGAGATGAGCACTAGAGGCCTCTCAGGGGACAAGAGCTCACATTCTCAGGAAAGAGGGGTGCCTGGAGCTCCAAGGCAGATCCCCAGAGTGCTGCTTGTTCTGTGGGTCAGAATAGGTGGGTGAAGCTGGAAAGCCTGGGGCCTCACTTAAGTTTAGGAGTGCTTGGTGCTCAGCCAGTCATTCATTGCCTTGTGAGACTTTGGTGCACAGTGCGATGGGGATTAAAGGGAGCTTTGGCGGCTTCTCTTAACTGACACTGTGTGTGGGGGGGGAGAGGCTTCCTATAAGGAGCTCTCAGTAGAAAGCCAGTTACACATCTGTATGTGGCAAAATATGTTCAGTGTGGTGCAAAATGCTTGACTTTTCCTTCTTGCTTTCTGAATATGATGTTTAGCTGGAAGAGCCTTCTCCTCCCCTAAGACTACAGGGTCCTTAAATTCCTAACAATTTTTAATTTTTGTATTTAGTCCTAACTCATCTGAAATTTTATTATGATAAGATGCATATTTCTTCAAAGAAGTTTTCCAGTATCATTGAGTAACAAAGCGGTCATTTTTACAAATGAGTCCATGTTTGATGTTTCATTCTGTCATATTCAGCTAGTTGCCTATTTCTGCATCATTCTCACACTGTTTGCGGATTTTGATATTGTGTGGCAAAGGCCTGTTTCCATTACAAATATTTTCTTGTTGTTTATTCCTCCTTCTGGATGAATCAAGCCTGTCAAGTAACAGAAATAATTCTGCTAGGTGATTGCTCGGCATTGAATCAAAGTGAAACATTTTTTTAGGAAGCTTTTTGTTTTATGTTTACAGTTTTCCATTGAGGTACATTAATATGCAATCTATATTTAAATCATAAATCTTTAATTCTGAGTGCCAGTCTCATGCTAATTTTTTGCTTTGCCCATAACAGTCATTTTGCATACTTTCTACACTTTGTGAAATTCTTGACACCACTTTGTCACAGTCATGCTCTCAGATAACTCTGAGGGAGGGGCAGTGAATACACAGAAAACTGAGCTTCACACTTGGAGATGTTCTAACTAGTAGGAGCGTCTGTTCTTTTCTTAAATCTTTGTTAAATTGTTCATTCTCTCAGGTATTCTAGAGAAGATTGAAAAGTTTGCCTCAGAGCCTGAAGATATCCATTTCAGTAGTTTCTCTATAATTGGATTGTTAAAATAGAAAGCCATATGAAATTAAATGCCAAATGCCACTGAAAACTACTGATGGTTGGAAAAATACTCTGTAAAGCTCACTATAGTTTTCAGGAAAAAAAACCTTCAGCTATCTTATAAAATGAGGGTATTCAGAAAATCCATTTTTTATTCATCTAGTTAACTAATTCTACTCTCCAAGGCTACTCAAGACATATGATTAATAATATTCCCTTAAAATTGCATCTTGGGAAGTGTTTTCACTTACGCTTAATGAAAAACACTTGGGAGCAACTGCGTTCTATGACGAAGTGACTAGTTATTATCCCTGTTTATAAGGTAGCATTAGTTT